ACACATCATATTCTACATCCCCAATAGATATACCTATGCAATTTTGTATACCTTCCAACACATATTTAAAATCCAATACAAAAAGCTTCTTTTTTATACGAAATAAATTACCCTCGGCCAATTTTCTGTCAGCTGTTGCCATTAAATTTTGTTCTCAGCTCAAAATAAGCGCCAATTTTCCAAGTTATTTGAATTGAATTTGAAAGTCGTTTCGCGGCAAGTGGTAAAAACTTTGGTACATTTTCTGCTGTACCTAAACTAAAATTACGGACAACCGGCAGCTAATTATGTCGCCATTTTAAATAGGAAATTATTGTATAAATAATTCAGTTGGCAAATTAGCCGCTGGTTGTATGAATGTTCTGCACTAGTGACAGTCGTGACAGACGCTATAAAATGCACATGACAGTGTGACAAATTTCACATAAAACAATTGCCAGCAACAACAACAATAACAACAGGAACAGCAACGAGAGCAACAACAACTGTCGCTAAATAACAAACGACAGGCAGTCAACGAAAAGGAGAAGCAAAATATTTAATTGAATTAAATTGTTTGCTGCTGTTACCAATCGCAATTGGCCAATTTAGGCAAACAGCTAGACAAAACGCAAAGTACAAAATTGTTAGCCAAATGAAAGGCGCCCCCTCAACAAAAAAAATAGAGAGAGTGCGAAAGAGAGAGAGAGGGAGAGAGGGCAGTTGGGGCCACGTCAAAGGTGGAAAGTGGCGTCGAGTGTCGCTTTTATTGTTTACTTTCAATCACTTTTCGTCACGAAGTAACAACAACAAAAAAAAAGCGAACGGCATATATACATGAAAAGAAAGAGCAGCCAAGTTCGGCTGCCGAAGTTTTAATACGCTTCAAGATCTATGGCAGCCTATAACTGACATAATTACTATTCAATCTATATATACATATAGCGTCATTTGAATTCCATTAAAATAAATAAAGATTTATAGACAATGAAACATCTTGAGCAGGCAATTGCTCTCAAACCATGTTGAATCAGGCCTCACCTATATATAACATATATAACTATTTAGTAAACTGGAGTCGCCAAAAGTTACTCGAAGTTCGCTGTCCGCTCGAGGGATTATTCACTGTGCATGCTTTATAGAGGATTGCATATGACTTATTCAATGCGATGCATAGCTAACGACAAAATCATACTACCCTCTGGTAGGGTAAGTCACATACATGATGGCAATAGCAGGGTGGTTGTCTAAATGTCCGCTAAGCCGGGGGCGTGTCTGGTGTGTGTGAGTGTGTGTGGGGTGTGCGGCAAACGGTAGTTGGAGGCGGTACAGCATTTGCATAGCGCAAATCACAGCAACACACACATGCACTCACACACCCACAGCACACCCGCACTCACACGCTTGAGTGAATTTGTGGACATTGTTGACAAATTGCACATAATGACATCAAATTGAAAATGATTGTGTGCAATTGTTGTTTTGTTTTATTTTTATTTTATTTTATTTATTTTTTTTTTGATTTGCCTTTTTCAATTGCTGCCATCTTGCTCACTCCCTGCAACAAAATACCTCTTACAAATTAAAATTAATGGGCAACGCAGTGGCGCGTAAAAAGCCCAAACACGATACATCACAGACACAGACACTAACACGCACAACAACAACAACAACAACAGCAGCAACAAACACACCCACAACAACAACAACAGCAATAACACGTGCATTATAAACAGAAGCTGCACTTGAGATCCAAATGGGATGTACTACCCAACCTTCTGCTTCTTTCCTCTTCTCTTTTTCTCCACTTACACAAAAATCATTTCACTTTGCCTAATGTGCAATTAGAAAACGCATTTTCATTAGTTTTATCGCAACAATTTAGTTTCAGCTGTGTTTTCACAAGAACAACAACAACAACAGGAAAAGTAAATAAATAAAAATCGAAGAAATATCCAAAGTGTACCACGAGGTCTTATGTAAATGGACCCGATAAGCTTTCAATGGGCAGCAGCAGCCATCGCAAGGTATTGTTTGAAAATACGCTTAATTTGCTTATCGCTACGGAATGGAGCAGCAGTAGGTTCAGTTGAAAGAGCCAAAATAAACAAGAAAACCAGATGACTAAAAGCATTTGGCGTCTATAATGAGGAGCATTATAATTTTGATGGGGGCGGCAGAATGGACGAGCTCTGGAGTGATTGGCAAATTGTGGAGAAGAGAGAAACGAGACAGAGAAAAGCAAGTATCTAGAAAACATCTAGGAGGATAACTGATAAAAATTTCAAATTTCAACTTAAATATTTTTAACTAATAATCGTTTAAGTAAAGTATTTAATTTAATTCTTTCAGATTGTTTAAAGTTAGTCTTTAAATCTTAATAAATATAAGCCGCGAGACATTCGAACTATGGCCTTATTTGACAGTCTTACAGACAAACCGGGAGAGGAAAGTGGCTATATCAATTCGGCTATTGATGCTAATCTAGAATATATATAATTTATTGGGTCGGAGATGTCTTCAAGGGAGATGTCAAAAGGGTTTTACACTCCAAATATATGTTTATGCTCAAAGTGTTTGCTAGAGCTTGCAAAGAATATTTTAACAAAAAGCGAACCGCTCCGGCATTATTTCTATCAAACTATCCACGCCTATTAAAATGGTCTAGTTCATAAAGTGCCCTTGTCTATAATAATTGATTTTTTTGCATAGAGAAAAAATGTAATCTAATTGTTTTGGCTTGTTTACTTGTGTATTCGCGTATAATTTCCACATTTATTTAATTATAGTGATCTATGCGTTTGCCATTTCCATTTCCATTTCAATTTCTATGGCCCAGCAGAGAGTTCAATGTCTTTGCTGGAGTTGCTCTCACTTGACTCGCAAAACAGCCAAACAGGCAAACACAGCTTTCGCCACAAACTCGGCTCAAAGCAGTTGGCAAATTAGCAGCAACAACAGCAGCAACAGCAACAATCACAGCAGCAATTACAGTGCAAACAGCAGTAACAACAATAAATACTTATGAATACGTATTTACGTTTGTTCAAATCATGGAATCGTGTGAAATGATTTTGATCATTGGCCATCTATCAATATATCAATATACTGAAACAGCAAATGTTGTTGCTGCCAACGTTTAATTAACGTGATAAATCGTTTGTAAATTTCTTAATTATTACGTAGCCGTCGTGTGGTCAGTCAGTCGATCGATCGATCGATCGGTCAGTCCGTGAGGCTGTGGCAATTTAACATTCAATTCTCTCTCTCTCTCTCTCTCTCTCTCTACTAATTTGTTGCCATTCACCTTAGCACTTGCACGCGTATTTATTTTATAATAATTTGCCAGCGCCAACTATAATTAATTTCATGTGCATTTGCAGCAACAATTTTGAATTAGCTGCCGAGTGTCGCAAATTGTTTATGAAGTGCACAACAACAACAACAATTACAATTACAACAACAGCAACGAGAACAAGCTGCGCACAATTATTTTATAATTTTGCTATTGGGAAACTGTTAACAAGTTAATTAAAAGTTAACAAAAAAAAACATAAATAAATGATATATAAATATAAAACAGGTAAGAATATTGAACGAATGCTCAACTGGTAGATTACCCTGGCCTACAATTGACTATCGAAATTATCGATATGTGGAAGTTATCGACACTACCAATAATACCAGATTTTAATTATCGACAGCACTAGGAACTATCGCAGCTAATATCCATTGATTGGCCTGTTATCGATTTTATTAATCCATATATTGGCAAAATATCGAATACAAAACTTGCACATTCTGTCAGCTACCGACTATAGAAACTTCTTTGAAGAATATTTACATATCTGAAGACCCCTCGACTTATAACTACAGGGTATATTGAATAAATATGCAATTTTAGCTGTGCTGTGTGTTGAGTACCGGCTCACGTAAATGCCATAAATGGATCTGGTCATTAAGCCAGAATTATATAAGAGCCAAGCATTTTATCTAACTGCTGCTAAATGTACAGTTCAAGATGCTTTAACTGCTGCTAAGTGTATCTATTAGCTGTGCTTTACAGTTATTAAATGCCAAGTGCTCTTTGGAACGCGTAAATTAGCTATGAAATTGCCAGAAAGATCATGGTGTAAGGAATGGTATAAAATCAAGATAATTCCCAATTTTAGTATAATTATTTGAGATAAACTGGATTTTAATCTAAGTTTTGGCAATTGAAGCACACTTTAAATCGGTTAACATTTCGTTTACGTCAATTATTTTGTTGAAAATGTGCATCAAACTCTAATTTTATAAAACTTTGAAGACTTTCACAAAATGGCTTAAAATGTTTTTACTGCATTCACAAAGTTGCCAGCAATTTATTCGATTTTGGCCGAATTCCAAGACGTTCAATAAATGCAGCTGCCAAAAAGTTATATATTTTCTGGGCAAAAGGACTAAAACTGAGCTGCGAGCGAGAAGCACTAATTAATTAAAAGCAAAACTGAAACTGGCAGCAGCAGCAGGAACAGCAGCTACTCGACTGGCTGCCAAAGGTTGGTTGGGACAGACCCACCCACAGACTGGCTGAGTAAACTGCCTTACTAAGCGCCTTGTGATCCTTTCTTAATTGAAAAATGTCGTCACAAGCAGCTGGCGGCAGGAGTAAGCATTTACCAGGCAGCATTCATTCAGTCAGCCCAAACAAACAAAATCCTTGTTAATCCTGCACTGAAATTGGAAAAACCTGCAGCACCAGAAACAGAGAATGTCTTACCAGTCGCCCTCCCTCTCTCCATCTCTCTAGTGGCTCCCCATTCGCCGACTTGGCTCGTAAAATCAGCTCTTGAGCCGCACACGCAGCCCCCATTAAAATTTGTACAAAATTATGTAATAAATGCAACATAAAATTTGGCTTTGGCCACACTAATTGGAATGCAATGCAGCAACAATTTGTTAAATAGAAACATTACAAGACCCCCTTCCAGCTCTATATATAATCCTTTGCTCACAATATAAAGTGTCACAATATTACACTTTCACAACAAAAACTCGTCTGGAAATACAAATCGTTTTTGTATTCTGAGTCACAGCACACACACCAAAAAACAAAAATAAATAAAAAAAAACCAAAGAGATTTTCTAGACAAAACGCTGCAGACTTTATGTCTTCTAAAGACCTGGACGAGGGGATCTATCCGCCCGGCTTTCATTCATAAATTGCTCAACGATATTGCCCCGTAGCTGCTGGAACAAAAGAGGTCGTCACACCTATTTCTCTTTTTTCTTCAATTTTTTTTAGTTTGTTTGGAAATCAATATCTAAACAATGCAAGCAGCAGCGGCGGCCCTCAACAAATTTTCTGGCAGCCTAATAAAAAGACGAGCAAGTATGGTCAAGCGAAGAGTTCACGACTAGGAGATACCTTAGTTAGTTTATCGAGTTCGGGGCAAATGGGGTTCGCTTAATTTGAATAAGACATAAACGAATAAATATACCAAATTTTGTAACTGGAGTTCTTAATGTCGCTCAGATCGGATGGACTAGAAGGAAATTAAACCAGTATATATGGATATTTGAAAGTGAACTAAATTCAAATTTACCCAGACATAATTTATATACCAACTCTGGAAACTCAAGATATTATAGTCGCTGGATTAATAAGACACGAAACCTTGCTTCGATTCGTCAAGAATATGCGTGCACAGTAAATATTAAAGAATTTTATGCTTATGCACATTTCCATAACGCAATCTTGCCTCCCTTTAACTGATTTTATAACTACAGGGTATACAAAATTTCTTTCACCAACAACAAGCAGAAGTTTTGACACTTTATGGCCACGAAAACTTTTGTGCGTGTATTACGAGCATTATAAACTTAGGAGGCAGCTCCGACAAATGAGCCCGCCTGTGTGGCACAGCTCGCCGGAGTGCGGGTGCGGGGCAGATCTTGGACCGCCGCGTCGCATTGTCTATGGATGCTGGTCATCTGTCTGAGAGCGAGAGCATAGCCAATGGTTCGATTTGATACGATTGGAATCCCATTTCGAGCGACTCATTTGCATGAAAATTTGTTGCAAACACATTTAACTGAAATCGAATTCTTTTGAAAATACGTTGAAACGGTAATTTGTTGGCCAGTTTAGATGTGTTATTAGCAGCGTTTATATGCGAGTTACGCCCAAAACGCGACAGAGAAAAAATAATAATAATAATATTAATAATAATAAACACGATACGATATCCAGATAGTTCAGCTAGATTTGGTTTCTTTCAGTTTGGTTATTTTGTGCTCTAATTTATGCATTCCCAATTGGGTTGGCGTATACTATTCAACGGCAGTGTAATGTCTGTATTCGTGCCTGTTTAAAGTGCAATAACCGTGGCTAAGACTGATCTATGGGCCAAGATATTCGGTCAGAGATTGACATTTGAATTTACATAGATGTTACGACAATCTTTTTTTCTATTACTGGATAAGGCTTGAAGTCTGTAGTCTGATATCGTAATTTATTGTAGCTGATCAATCAGAAGCGAATTGGAGCTGACTTTGGGAACAGTTAAAAGACTTTAGTCTATCAAATGGCAATAAAATGGCTAGATAGTTATATAACATTCCAGGAAAATATAATTTAAAGCAGTCAAATGTTTAAAGATATTGTAAAAACCTGAGCCGCTGTAAAATTGGAGTATTGAAAGTGGGTACAGCTTATAAAAAGCGCGTTCTTTTAACTTTTACAAATATTGCATAAATTATACTAATAGAAACTATATGAAAATTAAAACTAGATATATTTAAACGCCTACAAATTGTAGACTAATAAACAAACATTTTCTGCCATTCATAATCTATTCCTGACTTGGCTTCAGAATTTTTTTATTTGTGAACAACCTTGTTTCTTATATGTTTTAGCAATGCTTTCCTGTAACTTTATCCTTGAGTATTTTAAAGCTTTTTTAAATATTTCTATTTTGAATAATACATACATTTCTGCACCCACATTTTTACAAGTTCTGTAGCGTGTTGCCCTCAAGAATCGACTTATATAAACCCCCACAGCGCATGCGATATTTTCAGCCCCGACCTGTTTCCTTGTGCTAAACTCTGTGATATACGTAGGAAACGTTCGTGTTGAAAAATGTGATGTTTAATTTCGCACATTAAAATCAGAAAATTATCAGACACGAAAAGTCATAAACCGCACACCGAATGCTGTCATAAAGGTAACAACAAAAATTTAAAAAAACAAAACGAGTCTAAGCGACTATCGAATGCCCTGCAAAAAGTTGGCCAAAAATTAAATAGGGTATTATAAATTAAGCAATTACTCACATAATATAATTTTCATATATATAATAATAATATAAAAATAAACTACGATATATATTAATTATAATTAATAAAATAATTGTTAATAAATAAAATTAGTGTACAATAAATAATTTAAAATCAAATACAATAAATTGATTATATATATATTATTGTATATTTAAGATAAAATAATTGAAACTAAAATACAATAATAATCTTTAAATAAAATAAATAAGAAATATATAAATATACAATAATATATAATGAAGTATATATACAACTGAAACTACTCTCGACCTAGGGTATACTGAAACCTATCTAGGCATGCCCGAGAACGAGAGGGTGGGGAGAGGAGACAGTCCGCTCCGAAGACTGCGGATTCTGCAGACTAGGCTGCTGCTGCAAAAAAAAGTGCAGTGAGCAAGATTAAAATCTTCTGAGAATTGTGTACAAAAGCGAAACGGGCAAAAAGGTAAGTAACATAAATGAGTGTGGGGCAAGGCGAAACAGAGTCAAATCGATATGGGCCCCAAAAGGTAAACAGCAAGAAGCGCACGAATCAAAACTGGAAAAATGCACCGTGGCAGAGATCAAGGAGCTGTAGCTGGAGGACGGAGGATGGAGGACAGAGGATAGCAGAGGAGGCAATGCGAATGTCATGTAAACAAATCGATTTGTTTCATTGATGACATTCTTGCCGAGATTTTTGCGCAAAATGTCATAAAGTTTATGACTTAAGTCTTTTGTTTGACGCTGACGGCGACTGCGACGCAGACTGCGACGGCAACGGCGACGGCGAAGGCGACTGGCTGCTCGGGCACAAAAATATCATTATTAAATGTGATCGAACCGCAAAACGAACCGGTTTGAAAGCAACAACCACAACAACAACTGCAAGCACCATGCTTAACTTTATATGAAGATTTGCCAAGACTTTTTGCATTCACACCTACAAAAGTGTCATCCGCTTGGCATTTGCTGCCATTCGAGTCGGTTCCCCGACTCTGGACAGTGTGTTCGTTTATTTTTTTTTTTTTTCTTAACCACAAATTTAACGATTAAGACGTGTTAAATTGTTAACAAGCCACTTGCAGTTATTGCCAATAAGCTGCAAATTTACGAGTCTTGGCTCAGCCACAGCCCAGCTTTGGCTACGTATTCATTTCTGGCTTTGCTGTTTGACTTCTTGTTGCTGTTGCTGTTGTTATTTTTGTTGCTGTTGTTGTTGTCTAGGCCCAACGTCATTTGCATGTGAAAGCTTTGTGTGTGCAACTGGCAAATGGGCTGAGGGGGTGGCGGCTGGGTGCAGCATGGAGACCTGGCTTTTGTGAACTGCTCGAAATGCTCATCGAGCCATCGTCTTCGTTGCTGGTGGTGCGTGCATTTCAAATGTCTGATCCCCTTTTCATGGCCTGATTTATAAATCAATACACTTTATTGTTAGCTTTAGTTAGGCTTTTAACGGCTTACGCATAATTTAACAAGAGTTTTGAATACTAAAACAGAAAAGATAACAGAATAAAACAGATTTCAAAACGTTTGCGAATGCGCGACAAATATGAACTCAGCAATAAACTGCTGTGGGCTCAAAAATATTGCTTCAGCGTTTAAGAAGGCATCACAAAGAGGAATTAATGGATAAGATGAGGTTGGGAGGTTGCAAGACAGTTAAAGCTATAAATATATATGTGCAAATACATACATGCAAGGCAAAAATTTACGGAAGGATTACAATGGAAAATCAAGTCAAGCTAAGTATAAAGTAATTGATAATGTTCTATTAGGAATAATTGACCAGATATTCGTGTTCTGAGACACACATTAACAAAGAGAAAACTTATATTTAAATTGAGAAAATAAGGGCATAGGCATAGCTGCCAGTCAAATTGTTAGCTTCTGGGCTTGTGCTTATTATTAATTAATTATAGCTTTTCACAAAAGACACCCAAATACCTTTTCTTCTTTTCTTTTTTTAGATAACAATCAAGACTTTGCAATCTATTAATAAGATGCCCAAACAAGAATCAACTTAACTGATTTATGAAACCAGTTTCATAATTTAGCCATCAATTCAAAAGCGATTTACATATTCTCCACGGTCAAAATAACCCCTAATGGTTAAAGGAAAAACAATATTTGGTGCCATTGGCAATTGTGAACATATGTAAAATGGTAAAGAGCAGCAAAGAACTGCCAAACGAGCTGAAATTAATTTTGAAAGACCAAAATAAATAGAGACAGTCACAAATTATGCCCAAATTAGCAAAACAACAGCAATAGCAACCACTTGGCCATGACAAAATGCCCTAAAGCCAATTTCTGGCGAGAGAGGGTGGGGTAAGGGGCAGAGAGCGATATTGGGCTGGAGTGACAAAACGCACAAGTGTCGACTTGCCAGTCCGTGACAGGCAATGCGTATGCGTATCTATGAGATACGTGTTACATGTGTTGCATAATGCCAACACAAACACAATTACGAGAATTGTTAGAGGGGGAGTTTGGTTGGGTGGGGTTTCGGCTTGTTACAAGCAATAAATACAAACCGCATAAAGGCGACGCGGCGGTCGCTTAATCCCGGCAGCAGCAGCAGCAGCAATAGCAGCAGGCCGAAGTCACCCCACAGCGTTATTTATACACACACCCACCCAACACCTCTACACGCGACTAACCCAACATCAACCCCAGCCAAGCACCTTACCCACACCAAGCAGAACAAACTGAGCACCAATTACTCAACATGATTTCAATGAAATTACCGCACACAAAACAAAGCCAAAGCTGTTGGGAATGCGAGAGACAGAGACAGAGACAGGCTAGTATACAGGATACAATGTACAGTAAATACAGGATATGAGTTACAGTTGCACTTAGAGAAAACCTATTACGCAAAGCAAGAAACTCTCTTTCTCTTTTTTCGCAACATTCAGAACTTAATCTAAGAACTAATGTAATTTTGCAAGGAATGTTTTTGCTTACTTCAAGTATGTGTATGCTTAAAATAAGTATTACGATTTTCGTATTTTTTAAATATTAATGAACATTGACACTAATTAATTAAAGCATGAATCGTCCTTAACTTACGCGCAAATCTGACTTCAAATTTTAGCCTGGTTAACTAGAATTTATGGGGCTTTTCTTTGAGTGTACAGGAGCACTTGCAGTTTAAGCAACAACAACAATAACAACAACATCAATCTCAATAACAATTCATAATTCATGTTTAACATGCGCTACCCGTGCACTGCCGCTGAGCAATTTTGGCAAGCAAAACCACCTCCACCACCCCTTCCTTCTGAGCACACCCCCCACACACAAACAGAGGGTAAACAAGGCCCTTTGGGCCACCCCTTTTCAAGTACAACCGCCCACCCCGACCCCGGCCTGCTGTGCATAAATTGTTGATTGTTTGTCTATGCTCGGGCGTATTTATGACACGAGTTGAAGTCAACTTTTTTGTTGGCTCAATAACAAATGACAACAACTGGGGGTGGCCCGACGACAACAACCTCCTCCCCCCTTTCCAACCACCAACTGGCTGCTGCTGCTGCTGTTGCTGATGATCATCCCTAATTGGTGTTGAATGGAGTTTTTTTTTGCGCACGTTGCCAAGGGTGAAAGGTGGCAACCTGCAGCGGGTGGGTGAGTGGTTGGCCAAAAAATAAGGAAGCTGCGTGTCACATGGCAAGTGTACTTTTTTATTGCCTGCCGGTGTGTGTGTGTGTGTGTATGTGTGTGTGTGTGTGGGCTGTGGTGTGGGGTTTGCATTAGCCAAATGTTGCGGACGGGCGTGAATCTGATTAACATAATTGAGCTGTTTGTTTGCTTTGTGCCCAGCGACTGCTGCAGTTGGCCATATTTTCTGCTGGGGTGACAATCAATTTGTGCGACAACCGGATATTCCTTAAGATATAGGCAACTGCCTGTCCTGCAGAATGAAAGATCTGTATATG